CTTCTATATTTTTTAAATATACATGCTTTGGTATTATTAAAATTACTTATAAATTTTCAAATAAAACAGGATCTACTAAATTAATTCATCTTTTTATTCAAAAATAATTTTTATATATAACGAAAAACATAAACACGTCTATTCCTTCAAATCGAAAAACATATTCTTCATTAGGCGGAACCTAGGAACAAGAAAAAGGTGAATTGAATTATATGTAACTATTATATAATATTTATGAACCTTATGATAGTCCCTCATCCTCATAGTTTGCGCAGTAATTGCAGGTTGTTCTACTAGTGTAATAGAGTACTCTATTGAGCGCAAACAATTTATTGCATTTGTCGCATTTTTTTAGAATATTTATTATAATTTCCACGACATAATCTCTTTTAGTACTTTTAGTGACTTCCTCACAATTATTTCTTATTTCTTTTCCTGTACTTTTTACAGCTGCAGTCACCCAGACCATCTTCTTCAATTTTCTTTGCCCTTATTTCAATATGTGGCTTAGCAAGGTCTATTCCAATATCTTGGAGAAATAGTTTTCTTCGAATTGTTAAAGAGAATTACCACGCCATTCTGAATATTTTGTTATCCATCAAACAAAAGCATTAAAACTTGCTATATCAATCAAATTTTAAAATATTCTAAGCCGCCATCTTCTTGTGTTTCTTTTGCAGGAATCCTCATTCACAAATTTGTCTAATACATCGTGATGAGTAGAAGAAAGTAATATCACACATTTTTTTTTGCTTTAGTAACATTGGACACTAATGCTAGGTCTATAGTGTATAGGTAATAAAATTACTAAACAGCAAGTGATTTTAGATTCTTCAGAAGATTCTTTGGTAAGACCTTTTTATTTTTGCGCATAGTGCCAACTAGTGTTAGCTTTTTTTTAGATCTTCCGCGGGAGTTGTGTCGCTCAAAAAATTATCTGTCGTTATATTGCGTCTAGTTCCATAAAAATGATTTTATATAGTCTTTACTACGCGCGCCGTCCTTAATTTTTCCAAGAGATTCTAACTACTTTCCTAGATAAACTGCAAAATAAATTTTATCGCATCAAATAATACCCAAATTTTAATCGCATATTTTCAAGGTTTGCTGAGTATGTAAACCTGGCCAGCAGCCTTTGTAACTTGCCAAATGCACATATATTGTTGCACATGCAGTTTTTTATAAATGAACCAACTGCGTCGCGAATACGAGCAAGTTTATCGCGACTTTTGCTCTTGTATAAATATTGTCAAAATGCTGGAAGCGTAATATATCGCACTATCAGTTGCGGCTCATAAAAGCTTGATAAATAGATGTTGAAAGATTTATGTGTGAAAAACCACCTAGAAACTGGAGTTTCTCTTGCATCTCTATATCTTACAGATAAAATTAGTATTGCGCAAAAACATGTAATTCAATTAAATTGTCTCAATAAGTCTCGTTATGATTATTTATAATTTCTTTTACTATTGCATTAGTAAATTTCAAAAATATCGTCCCATAAAAAAATAAAAAAAAAACAATCCAGAATAGAATCGGTATCTTCGCTTTTCTCTGTTACACGAATACAATCAGATTCTCTAATTTTACCTGTTTTAGGAGCTACATATTTCAATATAAGACCAGCAACTTCAATATTACCACCTAAGTCTTTCTCAGCTTCATCGCTATCATAGTTTTCCTCACTGAATAAAATTCTGTCGTCATCTAGATTAGATTAAAACACAGTATACCAAAACCATAATACCATACAATATACCCTACTAGGGAATACCATAAAATGGTATTCCCTAGTAGGGCTAAACATGTTTCAGCTTGCACGAAAAGTAGGTCGATAGGAACAAAATAAATTAAAACACAGTATACCAAAATGTGGGCATACATAACAAAAAACAACAAAACGCAACGAAAAAAAAACTAAAAAAATATTTGAAAAAAACTTAAAGAAAAAAGTAAATATTGTGTCAATTTTGACCCGGTGTCAGTCAGGTAAAGGTTGAACCAACCAAGCAAATAGTGAGGTCATTTTCTATTTTTGATATCAAGATTATTCCAAGAATCTTTTTAGTAATAAAACACCGTCTGCAAAACGAAGGGTTGTTCCTGAAGTGTGTACATGGTATAAATTATTTATGTAAAGAATGAATAATGATAGCCCTAAAACGGATCCCTATAAGTATTATTAATTTTTGTTTCTTTCCGTAAGATAATTTTTAGATGGTTTCCAATGTATTCTGCGGATGCCAGAATCTTCCGAGTTCCGAGACCTCCATCACGAGTTTGATATTTGATTGTTTGTTTGTCTTTCATCAATAATTGCATTTTAAATTTGTTTTTTCTGTTGGGTTTGTTGCTATTTGCTAGTTTATGTTGAAAGGCCTAAATCTCTGGTGGATAGTGATAATATGTGATTAGATATCGGCAAACAATTCGTTGGTTCTTTTCTTCACATTGTATTGCCAAGCCTGTAGATATTATATTTTCTCTCTCTGTTTCTCTATTACTTTTTTTTCGAAATAAATCATAAGTTGGTTGGCTAGCCATTTTTCAAGCAGTGTGAGAAATCAGCTATTAGCAGTGCCTCTTTGCAAATGCAAATCTACAGATCCAATTTTTTAAATAAACGTTTGGCAAAATAAAATGATACTCTAATTCTAAGATGAGTTAAAATCTACCTGTTTATGTACTATTTAATTTTATAAATGATCAGCATCAGGTCGGCAGAAATTTTTCACTTTGTCCACTTAGATCATATCTATATTTTCCTAATTAGCTCTTTACATACGAAAATCTCAAACTTTGAAAACAACTTAATGTAAATAGCGATAGACAAGGCATGACATATATTAGTTTCAAACATTGTAACTATATTGGTGGTTATCACGTGATATAAAAATGCGAATTATCTAGAAACAAAGGTTCGGAGGTGACTGAAAAGCTGCTCAGAAATAACGAATGGGACCAACGTTAGCACGTAAATACCTTAAATCCCCCCTAATTCCCGTGTTTTAGTATTTGGAAGCCGGTGTTCTGTCGCGCCATAATTACTAATTTCTCTTTTAATGTTAATCATGTATTTCTCGGTAAATTTTATCCAATTCGAGTGCAGTTGTTTTTCTAGAAAGGATTAGGAAAATAAATAAAGGAATTAGCAAACTTTGTTTAGATTTGATTCCCAGCTGGGAGTATTAAAAAATATAAACCTCCAACAGAGAACCTTAACGAATAAAATAGTTTTTGATATAACGTTATCTTTATCTGCCTATTACGATTTTCTAAAAATTAAAATGGATAAAAGATGATAAATAAATCTCCTCAACAATAACAATAATAGGTTTTCATAACAATTCAACAATTATAATTTTGAAAGTTCGGAATGCATAGAAAGAATGTTGTTTTGAATTTAATACATTAAAAATATTATTTATTACCATTTGTATTTCTATAAATATTACGTGTTGCGCAGGCTTGCGAATGAAGTCATAAGTTAAATTTTATAACGCAATTTAACTGGTTTCCTCACATTTTCTTTGGATTGCCCCATTTCTCTTTAGAATTACAATTTTTAGTTAAAGTATCATATTTTTTCAAATAGACCAATAGACTGCAACAAGAACAAGCATGCTAATAACTGATAAAATGGATATTTGTTACTTAAGTTTCATTTTATGCAGATAGCTGATAGAACTTTCTTATTATAAATACTATAATGCTAGAAATGAAAATATGATATTTTAAAATGTCCCCATTTCTTCCATACACTCTGTATAGAGTAGACCGAATGTATTAAAATCGAGAACTGCAGTAATATTTTTGCGAATCACAACGGTCAATCAAAATCGTTCATCAAATATCAAAAAAACAATTTAGGTTTAGCTATAGCAATATGTTCTGCAAAATATGTTTGGATTTAATGGCAGAATTCAAATTTGATGAAATATATTATGTGTTCCATAACAAAAATCATAACTTTAACTGGAACACAAAAGACATGAAAATAGCTCATTATGGTGGGATTCTGACAATTAATATGGCATTAGAGCTTCGATTTTGCCAAGGCGCATCCCGATATGGTTACCAGTTAAACTACATATAATAAACTTTCCATTGACTCTAAAAAAATAGTGTAACACATCCGCTTCAAAGGTTCAATCAAAAATAGTTTAAGAAATAATGTGCTCCCATTATCATATGCGAATATCTGTGGAACGAAAATAAATGTCTATTGACTTTACATTCCGCGTTGACCTTATTTTTGGAACTAAGAAAATGTTTGTTGCCCTTCCATATTCTCCTAGCATATTAAAATAAGATAATGAGAGCTATGATAAGAGGTATGTTAGCAATTTTAGCAACGCTATGCATTTAACCCTTCTGATCACTTGCTAGTTGATAGCCAAGATGTTTGTGAGAATAGAACTCTTTTCGGTACAAGTATGAGCACCCAATTGTTTAACCATTGATTAAGACTTGCTAGGACGTACTCTATTCCCTGTTGTGCATCTCTTGATTACCCGAATTTCGTGATGAATGCGAGAAAACTAGTACATGCCTTAATACCATATCACAGATCTAATATATTAACCCAAAACCTGTAGGGCCCCAATACTGACCCCTGAGGAACGACACTGATTATTAAGACTGAATATAGAACCACTAATAATAATAAAATAATTAAATGCGTTAATTTTTTTACCCGGAAAATGTTTATTGTTCATTAAAATAAAAATAGGAACAATTTAGATTTTTTCAAAGGGGGCAAATGAAACGCGCACCTAGTAAATTTCATTGTAGTTTTGGTTCTTAATGTAGGTTATTTTTGTTAATCAATCAAAATCGGACATTCAATGGCGAGTTGCATTGAAAAAGGATAAAAAAGACTGCATTTCCTTAACCCATAAAGCGCAAATCGCCTCATAATTATGATTTAAAACACCGTTCCTCCAATTTTTCCATTCAAATTGTCTATTCATAACAAAGCACTCATAAATTCGACTTACCTGAACCATCAGTGAGATGCCGACAATTCCTTGTGATTTATGCTGAGCTTCCGACATATTGTGATATAATTCTTTATTAAATCCGTAGAGTTGTATCTGGAACAATAATAAAAAGAGGCTATAGGAATAAATCGGAATGTGTGTATATATATACCAGTAAAAATGAGTTAAGGGTCACTTTCACAAATAGAACGGAAATGTTGCCTGAAAAATCATAAGAAAATAAAAACAAATATTTGAACGAACGTTAAACGTGGACATCGCTGTAAATTAAACAGTACTTTGACCACTTTAAATTTGTGCTTACACATAAAAGTATCGTGTGCAGAACAATTTACAAGCATAAATTTATTATAGGGTAATTACAGGATATATGACCAATAATAAAAAAAATAATTAAAAAAAATTTTTTTGTTATATCTGCTTATATTTATATCGTGATTAAATGAAAGCATAACATTGGTCTTCCAAAGTATGTAACGAACATTTTTAAAAGCGCACGCCCATGTGTGGCGCTGCACGTCCCAGACGTACCCGTCGCCGCCTCCCTCCGCGCTACCGTGCATCAGACGAACCGCGGAGAAGTAGTAGAATCCCGACCGCAAAGGGTTATGCAGCGACTCTCGGAAAACGCGTTTAATTTTGAAAATTTCGTTGTCCACCCATAGTATTTTACTTGAGTTCGGAATTACATATTTGTAGTGACACATAAATTGTTTAATTTCGTGTACCCGCAAACCCCCCACCTTACAAACTGGCGCTCCAACTTAGTGGCCACAAAATAAGCAAAATTATGATAATTACGTTTATGTGAATTTCTGCTCTGCGTAACTTCATTCTGTCTACGGGTTGCTCAATCAAAACTCAAGTTTTGCGTTGTTTTGTGCGTGATTTCTCATCCAAAATACGGCCGAACACATTGAACCGGCTTCGCGTGTGATTTCTCACCGGAAACTGAACAGAGACGTTTTGAATCGGATTTGCGTGTGATCTCTCACCGAAAACTGAACAAAACATCGATTTAACCGGCTTCGCGTGTGATCTCTCACCGGAAACTGAACAGAGAACGTTTTGAACCGGATTCGCGGGTGATCTCTCACCGGAAACTGAACAAAACATCGATTTAAGCAGATTCGCGTGTGATTTCTCACCGGAAACTGAACTAAAACATTTTTGAACCTGTTTTGCGCGTAATCTCCCACCGAAAACTGTGTGTGTGCGTCAAAATCGTAGAAACGAGAAGAAGAACGTTGTAAGTGCCTTGAGGTGTAAACTGGGAAAGTAAGAGACACCAAACTGTAAGTAGCATTCACTTAGTGACTATTTTTCATCGTGGAAGGACGAAAACCTCCATACAATCTTCGATCAAACAAAATGTCTACGCCCACGTCTACTGTCACTCTTACGGACTTACAATTCCAAGAACTGCTCAATCGTCTCGCTTCAAACAATGTGTCGTTACCTCAAAGTTCTACTGTCAACACTCAAACAGGCAATTTTTCCAAATGTAGCTCGCGTTTTAACGGCTCGTCGGACGCTGACGTTGTAGAAGTGTACAAAGATTGTACCGATGTTTCAAACGAAAATGCTCTAAAAGGGTTGCCCATGCTCTTAGACGGTTTTGCTGCCACTTGGTACCAGGGAGTTAAGTCAACTTTGAACACATGGCAAGAGGCTATCGATTTGTTGCGATCAACCTTCGGTCCGGTGAAACCTGCGTATCGGGTATATCGCGAGCTGTTTGCGGATGAGCAGGACCCGAAAACAAAAACAGACATTTTTATTTGCAAAGCACGGTCTATCCTAGCACAACTACCTGCCGGTACTCTCTCAGAACAAGTACAGATGGACATGGTCTACGGACTTTGGAACCGGAAAATTCGGGAAAAAGTATCACGCGATGCAGTCACTACGTTTAGTGAATTACTCACTCAAGCGCGCCTTGCGGAAGAAACTTTCGACATTTCTAGTGACTCAAAAGCGCCAAACGAAACAGACTCCCTCAAGAAACCTCGCTGTTCGTATTGCAAATATACGGGACATGCGGTTGACGAGTGTCGCAAACTAGCGACTAAAACAAAACAGGCTGAGGAAAATAAGACACCTACGGTAAAGGCTAACCCAACGAAGCCGCCCGAAAGTACTTCCTCTGGTATCTCGTGTTACGGTTGTGGTGCGCCGGGTTACGTCAAAAGTAATTGCCCCAAGTGCAAACTCGAGAGCAAACCCAAACAAACAAACGCCAACAGTGTTGAATTTCTTTTTAATTCGATTGACAAAGGTACAGACAGTACACAGGTACGCCCCCTAGTACCTATCACTGTGAACAACCACAAAGGATACGCGTTCCTCGATACAGGTGCCAAATGCAGCGTTGCCGGTTCGCTTTTATCCCAACTTTTACTGAAAGATTGTATACCTTATATCACCGAAAATATGCTTATGACTTTAGCAGACGGTGTTCAGCGAGAAGTGGATGCCATGATATTCAATGTCGATGTCATTTTGCAAGACAAAACCATTCCCACTAAATTGATTTCAGTGCCTGAACATAAAAGTAGTCGAACGCTACTTGGAGTCGATTTCATAACATCGGCCAACCTTGTCATCGATGTACCACAAAATCGATATCACTTCGGAGAAGATTCCCACTCGTCATTTTCTTTTGACACCGATTTTGACAGCTCCTGTCTAATTAATACTGTGCAGCATGAAAATCTCACTCTACGTGATGACGAAGGACGTACACTCAACGAAGAAGAGCGGAACACACTTAACTCCCTACTTTGTGAATATTCTGAACTTTTCGTGCCTTCTGATGAACCGACTCCTTATGCTGAACACAATATCACCTTACTAGATGACACACCTATCTCCGTACCACCATATAGGATGTCAGAACCGAAAAAGGAAATCTTACGCAAGGAATTGGACAAACTGCTCGAACGTGATTACATAGAAGAGTGCGATTCACCATACGCCGTACCCGTCGTACTTGTCCCGAAGAAAAACAAAGAGGTTCGTCTTACGGTCGACTACCGAGCACTGAACGCCATCACCAAGCCAGACAGATACCCAATCCCACGGATTGATGACCTCCTTCACGCCGCTAAACAAACAGGGTATATAACTACTCTGGATCTTAGGAACGGATATCATTTGATAAGCGTCAAACCCACAGATAGGGATAAGACAGCGTTCATTTGCCCATTTGGTATGTTTCGTTACAAACGTATGCCTTTCGGTTTGCGCAACTCACGTCCACGTTCCAAAGGCTTATAGATCGATTTAAATCTGGTATCCAAGATGTCACTATGCTGGCATACCTCGACGATATTTGTATTTTGTCACCTACTATTACAGACCACGTACAAGGACTTAGAAAAGTATTTAACCGCCTTGCGCAGTACAAGTTAACGCTAAATAGAACCAAATGCTCCTTTGCTTGCGAATCTGTTCGTTATCTAGGCCACATTCTTTCCAAAGAAGGGATTCAACCAGATCATGAAAAGATAGCAGCCATCATGAACATGGCACAACCGAACAACGTTAAGCAACTGTTAGGTTTTATACAAACCTGTTCATGGTTTCGACGATTTATTGAGAACTTCGCTGAAAAGGCAAAACCTCTTACGAACCTCACAAAGAAAAACGTTAAATGGACATGGAGTTCAGAGCAAAACGAAGCTTTTGCGACCCTGAAGGAAGCTCTATGCTCACCTCCAATTCTTCGGCAAGCTGACAGTCGCCTGCCATATATATTAAGAACCGATGCTAGTAATTACGCACTCGGAGCATGTTTACTCCAGGGGGAGGGTGAAAACGAACGGCCAGTTGAGTATGCTTCCCGCCTTCTTACCCCAGCCGAACAAAATTACAACACAACCGAACGAGAAGCACTTGCTGTTGTTTGGGCTTTTAATAAATTCAGAGGATATCTAGAAGGTTGTACAACTTACGTACAAAGTGATCATCAAGCCTTGAAGTGGCTTATGACCTTAAAATCGCCAAGTGGAAGACTAGCTCGTTGGGCCTTAGAACTAATGCCCTATGACATTAGAATCGACTACATCCTAGGCAAGAAGAAAGTGATTGCCGACACCCTATCCCGACCTCCATTCGAAGACGTCGAGGAGTCATCCGAAATTGACTTCATCGAAGTAGACTTTCCAACCTTAAGTGCTTCAGACATTAGAACTGAACAACTATCCGATCCTGACATCGAGAAAATAATCCTTTGTCTCGAAGACCCTAATGATATCAGTGTCCACTTCAAGAAATGGGCAGAACGCGGATACATTATGAATAATGGTGTTCTGTACAGATACACCCCAGAATTGGAACAGGATGAGCCGCAAATGGTATTGGCCACAACCCGAGTACCATATGTACTGTCCCAATATCACGACACGGACACCGCCGGCCACTATGGCATCGAGAAAACGTACCAGCGTATCGCCTCCCGCTATTACTGGCCTGGTATGCGCAAAGACATAGCCGATTACGTCAGCAAGTACCTAAAGGGCCAAAAATATAAAGTGTCACACCTAAAGCCTGCTGGACTCCTACAAGCACCAGTGCAGACCCAAAGATTCGAAGTCCTCGCTATAGATCTTCTCGGTCCTCTGCCGACTACCCCTGAAGGATTCTGTTGGGTTTTAATCATCGAAGATGTAGCAAGTAGATGGACGGAACTGTTCCCACTCAAAGCTGCAACCGCTGTCGCCTGTGCTACCTGCCTACTTGACGAAATTGTCCTTCGCTACGGTGTTCCCCGCAGAGTGATAAGCGACAATGGCTCCCAATTTGTGAGTGCTGTGATGCAGCATGTAGCAGAGTGTTTAGGATTTCATCAAACCCTAATACCTGCATATCATCCGTCTGCCAACCCGGTAGAAAGGAAAAACCGCGACTTGAAAACACAGCTTGCTACCTTGACTGACGACGATCATACAGTATGGTCTAGTAAACTGCCGCTGTACGTTTTGCTATGAACACTGCCAAGTGCAACTCCACTGGTTTCACTCCGGCTTACCTAACTTTCGGTCGTGAACTGCGTACTCCGGATGACGCAAATCGTGATCTCCGTGCTATTG